AGAATATTCAAGCCACCAAGAAATCAGTATAACAAGGGGCTTCTGGGTGGCTCAGTCTGTTGAGTGTGTGACGTCAGCTCAGGTCATGATCTCACGGTCTGTGAGTTCGAGCCCTGAGTTGGGCTCTGTGCTGACAGCTGGGAGCCTAGACATGCTTCAGATTCTGTGTCTTCTTCTCTCTCTGCCCCTCACCTGCTCATGCTCTGTCTCTCTCAGTCTCTCAGAAATAAACGTTAAAAAAATTTTTTAAAAGAAATCAGTATAATGAATTATATTTAGCCATAACTGCCATTTTTATTCATTTTAGAGTGGCAATGTTCTCTCAGTGACCAAGAAAATGGCAGTTTTGTGTGACATTTGTGTTGGTCACATGGTCCAAACTGCTAACGCACCTACCCCACTTGGAAAACCTGCACCCTCTGTCCGCCCCCCCACCCCATGCCATCATCAAGGGTAGGTGCAGATTTGACTCACTATTCAAACTGATAATTATACAGCCCCTTGGAAACTTTCCTTAAATTATTCTTTATCTCTGGGACATCCCCAGTGACTCAGTTTATTTCCACCCCCAGCAGCTCTCCTGGGTTCCAGAAAGCTGTGAGGCTTTAAGTTGTAGGCTAAGTGGATACTGATAAAATGTAGAGGTGCCGAAGTAAAGAAGCAGGGCACTTCCTGTGGCTTTTAAAATGGATAGAGCAGGGAATTTTCTACCCATGGGCGGGGAGGGGATTCTTTTCTGTATGATTATGTCTGCCAGGACATTCTAAAAAGAAAAGCTTTAACCCCACATACCAACCATATATAAACACTTCTGCTGCGTAAACGCAGAGGCGGCTAATGTTTTTAACGAAGATGAAAGCACTCAGAAAACAACTGCATTTATTTTACATCATAGTTTACATTAGACTAATTGAATTTTAAACTAATTAAACAAGAAAACATCAATTAGGTATCTATTGTCTCTCTTGTACAATTATGTTGTTTTACTGCCTGTGTTTCATAGTTGTTGCCAAGCAGCTTTTTTTTAAAAATTTTTTTCAAATTTATTTCTGAGAGAGAGAGTGTGTGAGCAGGGAAGGGTCAGAGAGAAAGGGAGACACAGAATCTGAAGCAGCTCCAGGCCCTGAGCTGTCAGCACAGAGCCTGACGCGGGACTCAAACCCATGAACTGTGAGATCATGACCTGAGCCAAAGCAGGATGCTTAACCGACTGAGCCACCCAGGTGCCCCATCAAGCAGCTTTTTAAATCCTGTCCTGAGTTTCCCGAGAAGGAAACTGGGAAGTGTTACACGTTTTGGACTCCAAGGTGTTTTGATAGGTGTTCTTAGTACATTTGATTTTTAAGACCTGTTGACCTACTACAAACGGCTGAGCTCACGGAGACCTAGTTCTTGAAAACTGATCATTATAGTTGCTCGGCAGTATTTTGTAGAACAACCCAATCTACACCTAACCAGGTCACCACGAACACCACCTCCCTACCCATCCCGCTTCCAGCAAGAAAGACAATAACTTTTTTTAGGCTTATTTTTTACTTTGAGACAGAGAGAGAGAGAGAGAGAGCAGGGGAGGGGCAGGGAGGGAGAGAGCGAATCCCAAGCAGGCTCCTTGCTGTCAGCACAGAGCCCCCTTGGAGCTCAGACTCAGGAAGCCTGAGATCAGGGCCTGAGCCAAAATCAAGAGTCAGAAGCTTAACTGACTAAGGCCCCCAGGCACCCCGCAAGAAAGTAACTTAAAAACAAGTTGGCTTCAAGGGTCAGAGAAGCTACGATCCCGCCACTTGATAGCCTCGCTGGGAAGGCAGGTATAAAAGGAAGGCAGTGTCTGTGACAGTGGTCTATGTTTAACTGTCTAAATGCATTTCACTTTTCCAGAAGCTTCCTCCCATCCCCCTACTTCTGGAAGAAGCTACCATTAGGTGATTATGTTCAGCTGAAGAACACTCGTTTTTTTGTTTTTTAATTTTTTTTTTTTTTTTTAGTTTTGAGAGCGGGAGGCATAGCGAGAGACAGGAAGACATAGAATCTGAAACAGGCTCCAGGCTCTGAGCTAGCTGTCAGCACAGAGCCCAGCGCGGGGCTCAAACCCACGAACAGTGAGATCATGACCTGAACCGAAGTCAGATGCTCAACCGACTGAGCCCCGCAAGTGCCCCGAACACTGGTTTTAAAACTAGGGTTTCCATGTGACAAGATCTCTTACGTTGTCTCCTGCAGAGGTTGTGCAGGCTATGAGATTGCATGTGTCATATGGAGTCCAGCGGGCAGAGGGCTCCTCTTCATTCTTCAGCGCCCTTGTTCACAAATCTACTCCTTTTGATAGATCTTTATCTTCAGTTAGTCTAAACAACAACAGCAATAATAATAGCATCATAATAATCGTCTAATCCTATCCATAATGAAACCCTCCATCACACTCTGTCAGTATATCGTGGCCCCTTACAGCCATTGTCTGGACTGTCATACTGATAATCTCATTTAAAACAATCCTGAGAGCGGCGCCTGGGTGACTCGGTTACTGTCCAATTCCGCTCAGTTCACGATCTCGGGATCCGTGGGTTTGAGCTCTGCATCGGGCCCTGTGCCTACAGCTGGGAGCCTGGAGCCTGCTTCAGAGAGTGTCTCCCTAGCTCTCTGCCCCTCCTCTCTCTCCCTCTCCCTCTCTCAAAGATAAATAAACATTAAAAATTAAAAAAAAAAAAACAATCTTGAGAGAAATTTTCAGTATTAAACACCTTACCAAGCTGGTAAATAAGTGAGGGTCGCCAGATTTCTTTCTATTGTGACTCCCTCTATCCCTTCCCTTAAGCCTGTCCTAATAACCACACTCCCACTGATTTCTCCTGGAATTCCTTTGTGTTGATGCAAACAGAGAGTTAGAATTTGAAGACTAGCTTGCTTTTCTCTGTAATGAAGTCTCTGGTGACTTATCTCTTAAACCATATTTTAAAGCCCTCAAAGATAAACATCTTCTGTGCTGGCCCTATAAAGCACCACACCGCATGGGAGTCTGCAAGGGGGAACCAGAGAAGAATGATGATCTGTGCTTAATAGAACTTCTTTTACCCATTGCAGATCTGGATCCTTCTCTACTAGATGTTCTCGCCTCTATTTCCTTACATTTTGTTTCAGTTTCTGATAGGTTTTTGGTTATTTGCTCTACCCCTCAAATACTCAGTCCAAATAACACCCTCTCATGTACCTATTTACCTGCTATGATTCAACTACCAGACAACGATCTTTGATGCTTGGCTTACACCAGTATGGCCCATTTGGCCATTATCACACTCACCCTGAGCTATTGGTTGTTAGGTCAGGTCATGGCTTCAGACTGAGGGGATGGCGTACCCAAGTGCCCTTTCTGGACATACTGTCTAACCAGACTTTTTCCTCCTTTCCAACTTTGCTACAGGATCTGTGCTTTAGTGCAGCACAGTGGGGGCCGAGAAGAAAGGCCACGTGTGCCTAGTAAGGCCTCTGCTTTCAGGACTGCCACATTCCTTCCTACAGCAGGCTCCACAGCTACCCATGATGTCCTGTTATCTTCCGCAGCCACTAAACATTCCTAGTTTTCTAGCACTTTCCCTATGAAGTGGAGAAATGTATCAAATTCGTCTTTGTAGCAGAATGTCCTAAAAAGTGTTCCAGGAAAATGGCTTGATGGAAAACCTAAAAAGAATTTGTTTAGAATTTCAAAGTGCATCGTATTTGTTTAGCCTTGTTGGGAGCAGGTAACTTCTTTTGCCCAAAGTGGCTCTCCGCCACCCAGAGGCAAAATGGCTGATCTGACCCAGCAAAGCAGAAGCAAATCTGAGTTGTACTGAAACAGGTTAAGGGTTCTAATTCTCTGCTGGTCATTGTTGGTTACACTGGGAAGGAACATCCGTGTGTTAAATACATGATTGATGTTGAAAGGTCTTTGTCAGTATAGCCAAGAGTACTATTCTGAAAGATATGGCTAGGTTTCAGAGTACAAGCTCACAGCTAGCTAGCAGGACTCAAAAAAAAAAAAAAAAAAAAGATGTAGAAAGTTTCGTAACAAGTGCCCCTACATGGAAACTCCTAGAAGTGTCCGTTTAGAATAGCCCTGTATCTGGAGAAATGTCTCTTCTTAAAATAATCTCTCAGCTGAGCTCATGCTATTTTTTTTTAGTCTGTAACCCCCAGGAAGCCTATTTGATATGAGCAGACCTTCACCTGAGTCTTAATCACAACCAGCCCACTTTTCCTCTATTGTGGGAAGATTCTGGGAGCATTTGATATACGTATTGTAACCATAAGGTCTTCTCTTTTACAATAGGCAAGAGTCACTGAAAGGGTGAAGGTCATATCCAACATGCTATGCCCCTTTGATATGGCTGGTTTGACACGGTCATAATGTGGCTCTTAACATTTTGTGCACACCACCCCCTCCCCAAGAATACCACCCGTTCAGAACACTGGATTCCAGAAGATGTGACCTCAGGGCATCTTAGCACTATCGCCAACTCTAGCCCTTTGCCTGACCTCCACTCTGCTCTGAGGTCCGGGAGCAGGCCCCAGGGTCAGCCTTCAAGGAAATCAGAGGAGGGGAGCCCCTGAAACCTCCGCGCCACCAAGGGCTTCTGAGGCAAGGGCGCAGTTTGCTGTACTGACATCAGGACCCACGTGGATACCCCGAATGTGCACCAGCCTGTTACCCGTTGCTCCCCCGAACACGCGCGCATTGTGTCACTGCGTTCTCAGCACACTGCCCCGCGTCACCCTTCCCAGGCCCCCCGGGGGGCACACGCCGCGACCCGATCAACCTTGAGGGCCCAGGTGCCCTCGAGACCGATGCGCCCCGGGCCCCCCGGCTCCCCGAGCTGTCGGCTCTATCGTTAGAGAAACCGCAGCACCCGGCGTGCGGCGTCGGAGGCCGTGCACTCTTCGCACCAGAACCTTCTCAGGGGTGCCGGGGGCGTTGCGGCCGTCGGCGGGCGCGCGGGGCCCCGGCGGGGCGCGCGCACGCAGCCCAGCGGCCGCCACCCGCCCGCGTCGTGGGGCGTCGCAGGGCGTCCGCCGAGGCCGGCTCCGCACCCCGCCATGTCGCGCCCCTGCCGGCCCAGGTACAAGAGCGGCGACCTGGTGTTCGCCAAGCTGAAGGGCTACGCCCACTGGCCCGCCCGCATCGAGCACATGGCCGAGGCCAACCGCTACCAGGTGTTCTTCTTCGGCACCCACGAGACGGCCCTGCTGGGCCCCAAGCACCTGTTCCCGTACGAGGAGTCCAAGGAGAGGTTCGGCAAGCCCAGCAAGAGGCGGGGCTTCAGCGCGGGGCTGTGGGAGATCGAGAACAACCCCACCGTGCAGGCCGCCGACGGCGCCGACGCGCCCGGGCCGCGGCCGGACGCCGGCGGGGACGCGCCCGCGGGCCGCGGCGCCGCGCAGGCCGAGCGGGCGGCGCCCAAGAGGAGCGCGGGGGAGCCGCCCGAGGGCCCCCCGAAACGTCCCCGGGAGGCCGAGCCCGAGGCGGAGCCGCCGCCGCCGCCGCCGCCGCCGCCGGAGGAGGAGCAGGCCGAGGAGGAGGAGGAGGAGGCGGCCGCCGGGGAGGCCGCGCCGCCGCCCGTCGTGGAGCTGGAGACCCGCGGCGCCCCCGCCCCCGCCGCGGAGCCGGAGCCGGAGCCGGAGCCGGGCCCGGCGCAGGCGGCGCCCCCGGAGGGGCCGGAGCGGCCGGGAGAGGCCGCGGCCGCCGAGGCGCAGGCCCCGAGCGTCGCCGAGGGCGAGAGCCCGTAGTCACCAGTTTGTGAGAAGAGCCCCCGCCCCGTTCCTGCTGCGGCCTGCCTGTTACCTGGGGAAGCTGACCCCGGCCCGCGAACTGGGGCGCCCCCCCGCCCCACCTCCCTCCCTCCCCCTTCCTCCCCTCCTCGCCCGGCCCTGGGGGGCGACCTGGAGGGGCAGGCCGCCGGGCCCCCAGCTCCGTGCCCCCAGCACCCCTGTGATCTGAGTGGGGGCTTCCAACCCCCTCCCCCCCTCCCCCCCAATCCCGGGATGAGCTGAGCCCACCGCGCCCCTCCCTGCCTGGAACTGTTTCCCAAGGCTTCAGTTGGGGCCTGGACGGCCGTTTCCTCCCCCAGGCACCCCTGTCTCCCTCCCCCCGCGCATTCAGGACCTCCGCGTTGGAATCTGGGGTAGGAGGGAAGGCGTGGAGGGTACAGAGCACAGGGGGGTGCGGGTGGGGGACTTCCTGGAAGGGGCCATCCTCAAACTGGGGTGGCACCGGGTGGCCGTCTTCAGAGCGTCTGTCAGCCCCGCCCATGCCTGTTCTCCCAGCCGCTCGGGTTCCCCCGAAGTGGGAGGCCCTCTCTCCCATCTGGGTCTCCCTCTTGCTGACCCAGGGAGTGCTGGCGTTTGCGCTGTTTCACCAAATAATTTGAGAGCTTCCAGGTTGTTTGTCAGATGGGGAGGGTCAGCTTGCCCCGCTCTTCGGATGGGAGGGTGAGGAACGTGTGTCCCCGTCCAGACCTCTGGGGCCACTGGGATGTTCTGGGGAGACCCCTGGCCACCCCCTTTCCGTCTCCCCGCGACCTCAAGGCCACCCTACAGCCATCTGTGTCACTCAGGCAGAAAGCAAAAGGCACGTCGTGTAGGAAACCTAGTTTTTAATGAAAAGAAGTTTTAATTTTTCGAAAATGAACTGCCCTGGCGATGTCTTCAGTCAGCTTGCAGCTCTGCCGTTCACCCCAGTTCTGAGATGGACTGGGAGCTTCCTTGTCCGCTGGGGGTCGCGTGACTTTCTTTTTGTAGTTAAGGCTTTGGTATTCGTTCCTTGGCAGGTGCCATTTTCCATCCACATCCCACAGTCTGCCACCTCTCTGCCCCCTCCCCCAGCACGGTCACCAGGCCTGAAATGTAACTTCCTGAGAAGAGGGAGGGCCACACGCCCCCTCCCCGGCGTCTTCCTCAACTCCCCCTGGGTGCCTCCCTTCCTCTGTTGTCTTTCACCCCTGCCCTTCTCCCTTGGGCTCTGATGCAAAATTGTTGACTGAAGCTTTGGAAATTGAGAGCTGAACTATTTCAGTTCCAGGAAATAAAACCCGTTGATGACTTTAAACGCATCTCAGGTCTGTTCCTTTGGTTGCTGAAGAATTGGCCCTTGACTTTCACGCCCCTCCTGTTTTCTGTCCATCCTGTGGGGGGTATTGTAGAATCCCCCACGCCTCGCCCCCTGCCTTGAGAAACCTTCCTCAAGGCGCCGTCTGTAGCAGCTTTCCCTACACTGTTTAGAACGAGTGGAAAGGAATCACCTTTGAATGAATGAACGGTGACACCCTGGGACAATAAGGGAGTTTCTAATATTCTGCATGCTGTACCAAACAACAGATTTAGGGAAGAAGAAGGGTAAGAAGGTTGGTCCTTTTTTGATTGTTGTGATTGCTTTCCTAAATCTCATCACTACTTTCCTGATAAAAGGCACTTGCTTTATATTTCCAGTTCTTAACACACGTAGTATCCACAGGATGTCTTGTGTGTGTTTTTGCCCCCAGTGGCTTTGTACGCCTATCTGAGGATATTTAAATATCCTTGCTTATAATCACATGCTGATTTTTCCAGCTACTGTATTTGTCAACACTGCATCCGTGTAAAGACTTAGTAAATACTGGAGTCCATTCATAGAACACACCAAGCCCTCACTAACCAGCCTGGTAGGCAACGGAAGACATCACCATACGAGATGAGGCTATTTTACTCCAAGCCTTGTATCAAGATTAGTCCTTGTTTTTCAACTACTGCTGCTGCAGTAATAATACTAAGAGTTACTATTCACTGAATGTTTACCATGTGCTGAGAAGAATGACCTCCCTCAGTCTTTGTAATAATCTGGGAAGGTAGACACTAATATTCAAATTTCCCATTGGAAACAGTTTGGTTCAGAGAGGTTAAGTGGTTTTCTAGCACTTCACAGGGCCCTCAGGATTCAAATGCAGATTTCAGTGGTCCAAGCCTAAGCTTACATATTCCAAAAAAGCACTGACCATGAAATCAGAAGTTAATAAAATTGCTATTTTAGTATCAATAACAAGTAATGATGAGAGAAGGTTATTAATATGTTCTGCACATAATGTATTAATACAACTACCCAAGTAGGTATCTACTCTTCTTCATTTTAAAGCTGGGGGAGCTGAGGTTCAGAGGTGCTAAGTCATTTTCTCAAGGTCAGACAACTAGTAAATGAGCCAAGATGAGCCAAGATTCAAAGGCAGCTCTTGGTTATAGGTCGTAGTGCTTTGTTTTATTATAGTTTGTGTGTTCCTGTTGAATAAGATAGGAGTACTTATTTTTCCTCTACGATTTTGAGGTGAACATTTAGAAACGGACACGGCAAAGAGTGTATTAACAAACATGGCTAGTGGGTGTGTAACGAAAAAACACCCACCTGGGGCACCTCACAATGGTTATGTCATTAAATGACTTGGTGATACGGGAAGTTCACATATGGACCAGTATGTTTGCCCCAGGCAGGCATGTGATTTTGATAAGTCTTATACGGAGGTGCGTCTTCCGAAATGATTCAATAACCAGAAAGCTAGAAAATGAAATTACTACCATTTGAGTCCATCACTTTGTTTTATCTTTCTTCCTTTCTTGTCTCTAATGTCAGGGATCGAAAAAAGGTCGTGTTTATTAGGAAGTACCGCATACGTTTGTCTTCTCAGCGACCATAATACGGTAGTGACCATGGTAATCCAACTAACGGTACGTCTCAACAGTGATGCGCAAAATTAGCAAACACAATTAAAACTCAAAAAAGAAATGGAAACCTGGAAAGTCTGTATTCTCAGCCCTCTTCTCTGACACAGCAGACCCTTTTAGTGTGCTTTAGGTGGTTAAGAGATATTTGTGTGTGTGTGTGTGTGTGTGTGTGTGTACTGAAAAACGCTATTTTGTCAAATGTTTCTGGCTGTCTAAAACTCCCAGTAATTCCAGTGCCACGGTCTTTTGTTCTGTTTTGTCTTCTGAAAAACATGTGCCTCGGTGACAAAATTACTGACCGATAACCAGTTACCTTGCTGAACAGAGAGCAGCACTGGGTGTTCCGCCGATGTGGTGTTGGGGGACATTCAAATGTGTTCAGGAGTGTTCGGAAGATCTTGTTTAAGTGTTGCCCACAAACACAGGCTCAGCACGTGTCACTGATCTGTGACACAATTAACATACTGGCTTCGGTAAGGCTTTCCGAGTATTTGGTATTTCACACAAACGCCCTTGATTACATCACTTTGGCAAAGAGACTTTGCCACCACTGGTAGTTGTAAATTCTCTGTCTGTCTTCCAGCTCTCAGCCTGTTCTGCAAATTCTCAACAAAGGTGCAAATTCTTCTTTGGGGCTCATACCTCCATTTTATGTCCCCTGGAAACATAGTAGGTATTCAGGGCACACGGTATCTTCAGTTCCCTTCATCGTCAACACTCTGGTCAAAGAGAAGCTTCTGCTAACCTCTGCTGCGCGTGTGTGCTGCTCCTTGTGTTTGGAAGACACTGCCCCCCTTCTGGGCCTGGCCAGCTACTCGAGGTAAGAGCCACCCCTGCCTTCCTGTAGTGTTCCTCCCCTGCATTGACCTTACTGTAGTTTCCGGTGCAGTTTTTGCTTTTCCACTAAATTGGAAGGGAAGGAAAATATGTTTCATTAATTGTTTATCCCCCTTCCCAAAACAGGCCATAATAAGCACACAGTAGCTATTTTGTAATTGCTTAAATGTCCACTATCAGATACTCCTTAGAATCATGATGCTGGAGTAAAAGTCATATGTGAGGTTGAACACATTCTGACCCCGAAAGGGAGGCAGAGGGAACTGACTTGTACACTAATGACATATGCAGGTTGGGGTGACTTTACCTCCATCATTTTGGTAATGCATGGGTCCCCAGGCATGGAAGAGAAGATGCCGGTTGCTGCCTTCTTCAGACAGGAGCCGTGCATTAACCCTTCAGCCAGGAATGTATGACAGTCAAGTGTGAGTATGCCAAGGAGAACTTGGACCTGCCTTTCCTTCAGCCTTTTATGATATAGATGCCTCACGTGGTGTAGACACTTCTCAGAATGGAATGTATTTATTTATTTATTTATTTATTTTTAAATGTTTTATTTATTTCTAGGAGAGAGAGAGAGAGACAGCGTGAGCAGGGGAGGGTCAGAGAGAGAGGGAGTCACAGACTGAAACAGGCTCCAGGCTCCGAGCTGGCAGTCAGCACAGAGCCCGACGCGGGGCTCGAACCCACGAACCGCGAGATCATGACCTAAGCGAAAGTCGGACGCTTAACCAACTAAGCCACCCAGGCGCCCCTAATGGAATGTATTTAAAGGAACAGGATCTATTCACTACACAATATGGCCCCATCTCAGAAGCCAACGAGCTGGCTTGTAGAGAAACACTTATGTTTCCTACTCCTGGTGGAAAAATTGACTGTATTCAACTCGGAGATCTTTAAAATAGAGACCTCCTACGTGGTTCCCTAGAGTAATTCTGACAGCAGGCGATTTTCTCTTTGCAGTCTGATTTTGCATGTAAACTTCAACTTCACCGAAACGGTCTTGAGAACACACAGGAAAGATTGCAGCGAAGGGCTCCAGATGGCCTGGGGCAGCGTGAAGCATATGTTGATCAAGGGCACTCCTCGTCATGGAGTGGCCGCATCTTTGGCAAGGGGACCGGCGGAAAACAAGCTTCACCTGCTTCCTGCCCTGGTGTGTGGTCAGTGCCTGAGGACTGTGGGCCATTCGGTGAGTGCCCTTGCCTCTCTGACTTTTCCCACTTTGAGACAAGTTCTTCTTTCTGCCCAGAACACGAACAGCTGCATTTGCTTCTCCCCCGATGAAGCTTTGCCTAAAGTACTACATCACAACTAGGTTTTGCTCCAAAGTCGGATAAGACCCTGGTTTTCTGTAACAACATGTACTCCACTGCCCTATGCTCCATACAGCAGTAAAATCCCTTTATTGGCTTGTATCACCCAATAGGTTATATGTTCTATGGAGACAGGAACTGTGATCATTTTGCTTCTGCTAAGAGCCCACCAAAGTACCTGGTTCATATGAAGGTCTCAATAAATGGTTGTAAACAAAGAAATGAATGGAGGAGCGAACACCCTCACTCTCATCCCAAACCATCAGAGGAAAATTTGAGAACTTTTGTAATGCCCAGTAAAACACTGTAAGGGGACGTAAGGGTTTTTTTTAAAAGGTGTGTGCCCCATTCATTACATAAGATCATTTTGTTATTACATATAGGCAGGTGTTGGTCTCGTAAAATAACAAAACTGAGCAAGACTGAAGCCCAAGGGAGATCAATCAAATCATCCAAGGTTGTCGTGTGAATCGGAGTGTGAAGAAGCATAGTCAACACAGTACAGTATCTGGTTCCTTTTTTAAAAATGTTTATTTATTTTTGAGAGAGAGAGAGAAAGAGAGCGCACACACAAGCAGGAGAGGGGCAGAGATAGAGGGAGACACAGAATTCAAAGCGGGCTCCGCACTGTCAGCACAGAGCCCGACACAGGGCTCGAACCCACGATCCGTGAGATCATGACCTGAGCAGAAGTCGGACGCTTAACCGACCGAGCCCCTCAGGCACCCCCACAGTATCCGGTTCCTTCAGTGACGTGTTCTCTGTAGTGGTTTGATTCTTCCTTACCAGCTTCCTCTAAGGAAAGCAGCAGCTCAGTGGTACTGGCTCGGGAGCTCCCCAAACTCAGATTTAATTCCTGACTTCACTAGTGAAGAGCCGCATGATCTCAGTTTCCCTCACCTGGGAGTTGTGACCATGATTTTCATGTGACAGGTTTGTTGTGAGAAGCGAATGAGCTCATACATGTGAAAATGTCAAGCACCGTACCCAGCACAGAGTAGGCATGACCTAGGTGTGAATTCCCTTCCCTTCAACATGGTCTGGAGAACTGACCGTACCATCTGCGATCATTAGAGCTCACCAGAATGCTTTTATTTAGGAAAACTGGGGCCCTCTGCCAGATGCCACCCAGCTCCCTCACTGAGGTCTACATGACAGTTCTATATGTAGCCTGCCCATACACAGAGAGAAGCTGAAATCCTATTCT